TATATATATAGATTTCAGCTGAAATGCAATAAAAAAGAAAACTTGAGTGAAGAAACTAAACAGGAGGGCCTGCCTTAAAGCCAGCAGGTTGTTTTGATTGGCCTGTGACTGCTCCAGCTGTCACCGGGCAGAACACGTTTCCGGTAACTGATCTAACAATCTTCATCTAACTAGTTTTCTTCAACCCCACCCCCCACTCCCCACCACTTAAACATACTTGCTGAAACAAGATCTGCCATCCTAACACAATCAGGCAGGCCATTTGCTTTTCCCTGCGATCACTTGTAAACTACTGTAAGCTCTTATCATGTCCCAGGCCGCGCATGCACATCCACACAAGCATCCATCTATTTACTTTATTCACTCACAGAGACAAGTGTGCACACTCGATTCTTACACTCTCATCCAGTTACTGTAGAAATGGGTCATCTTATTGACCCACTTCTAAGACTCATAAAATAATCCAGCTATCTTTTGCTCTTCCCAAAATTGAAAACGCATTAATGTTTTTGCCTTTGCAAACAATTAAAGGCATTAGAAGGGTCACAAAGCAAAATGTGTCATTTCCTGCAGGCATCATTCTGACTCGTTTATCAAATTAATGCATTGTATCAGACTGTCAATAAGATCAAAATACATATATTTCTATTGGTAAAAAATATAAAGCCAAAAACAAAGTCCATAAGGTCTTTAGAACTTTAACCGCCTCTTTTATGCTTCAGTAATGTAAACTCTAAATCGGCTTTGGCCAACCAAACAATTCTGTGTTGGCGCAATATAAAGCAGTATCCGATCGCAAAAAAAAATAAATAAATAAAGGCAACCAAAGTACCACTGAATAGAAACAGTTCATTTCAAATGCATGCCCTTTTGACAGGAATGTGACAGGACTCAAAGCGTCTCTGAGTAAATCAGTTTAAAAGAACATCTGCTCACACCCAGACACCCAGCCCCCCTCTAAAAACATTGTATCAGTGTAATATTGGGTGAAGAGATAAAATGTCAAACTGCTGCTTAAAGATTTTGTATTGTGTTTGACAGCTTGAGAGAAAAATAAGTCATGAAAACACTGAGCCAAATATCTTGCAAACCTTTCAGTTGTAATCGGACAAACAAGTGCTTCGGAACGCTGAATCAATAGATCAGCTGTGGTGAAGAAGAATAAATGTATCTTCTTATTAATGGGAATCTAACATTTCTAATGAACTTGACAGGAATCCCATCTGACCACACATTCATTTTTTTCTTTACCCATTTCTTTTCCTTTCCCAGAGTTTGGGGAAGCTGGTCCCAGTTTCCAGTGGTTCTTATGAAAATTGGGTGTGCCCAGGGGAGGTCATACGTTCATTATAGGACATATAACCATCAATGCTCTTATTTACATGTAGGGGCAACTAAGCATGTATTTGACACGGTGGCCTGGAGGTGCAAAACAACATCAGCAAAGGTGTCAAGTAAAGAAGTACAAATAAGAAGTATAWTTTCCGTTCTGACACCCTGTTGGTTTGTATGCCATCCATCACACCTGCACACAACACAAATCACATCACACCAACAGGATAGACACTTGCAACATAGTATGAAGATGACTGTGGCAGAAATATATGTTTATGCGGTTAACTACCCAGTSCAAACCCAAACTTTCAACAATATTATTTTATTATATTTTATAGTAATTATGGTCTTTAGATAAATGTTTTTGGGGGAAAGTAGGGTTGTGCACTATAGGCCCCTGTGGCACAGCCTAAACTTTTTATCATTAAAGGCTTTTTTCCCTCACATTCTTTTRCTTTTATACATTGAGTCGTTTTAAATCCAGTACTTTCATAATTTTTCTTGAGCAAAAACTTGAGTTGATACCACTCCTTCCAAAGAGTCTTTAAATCTTATTATCTGTGCTTCTCTTTAAGTAATGCATGTGGAAAGAYGCCTCTGTGTATAAGGGAAACTGAAGTACCAGGAGTAAACCCACACATGCACAGAGAGAACAAGCTAACTTTACAGACCTCCGCTGTGAGACAAACTTGTAATTTTATTGTTGTGAGACACAGCAAACATTTTTACATTTAATACAAGGTGCAGCCTCAGCTCATATCTGATTATTTCAGTTAATAAATAAAACAAATAAATATGTTAAGTCAAAATTTTTGGTAATTTTTTTGGTATTTCTTTAAAAGAAAGACTTTTTTAAATTATCACAGCTTAAAAAAATAATTTTCCAAACAGGCCTCTAACATACTTTATGTCAYTGCTTATGCACTCCTTTTCAAATTCCTAATATTCTCCATTTCAAAAAATAGAGCAGTAATGACCTCGTCACAAGGACGAGTCCCAAATAAGTCTGAACGAGGAATTAATTATCTTCTGTAGGTCATGAGGTGCTGCAGCCCATGCTTGTAAACTCCAAAATCTAGCCGCCACCACAGGG